TTTACTGAAGAAATAAAAATATTCATTAAATAAGTTAACAATTTTTTCATGATCAGAAACAAGAAGTCCATTTACTGAGATTTGTGAATTGTTATTAAATGTTTTATTGTTACTTTCACCTGTCACTGACTTAATCGTTTCCCATAATATTTTTGGATTCTTACTGGCTGAAATAATTTGATTTTTWAAATATTGTTGTTTGGCTTTGBGTAATTCAGCAACACATTTATTCCGGTAACTGTTTAAACGAGACCGATTATCAGAAGTTTTTGAAATCAATTAATCCATGGTGCACTGTCAAGCACAAATTCATGTTTTATCCTGGATTATTGACTTCTGTCTAGGTGAAACAGCCCCTTGCAGGTCACTGAGTCTAAGGCCTCACCTCACTTGGCACAGGAGTCTGTGGGCATGAGGAGTGCCAGCACGCGCATGCGCAGTGTGGATGTCAGCGGGTTGGTTGGGCTTGTGTTTACAGCTTGGCTGGATGCTGTTGGCTGCTGATGTTCCTGGGAAAGTGCAATGTCGTGCCAAACGCCAGTGGAATAAAAATACCTGTGGGAGTCGGTGAGTCTCTTTTTTTTTTTTGCATTTGCACGTGTGCTTGTTTTAGAAGTTAAAAGCGAGTGCCACGCCATTTACGAGGAACAAACGGCCGTTTGTTGGTTGGAAGTGCCAGGGTTAGCATCGGTAGCAGGCGTTAGCTAAGCAGCCATAATAAAGTAATGGCCTGTATTAAGGCTCTGACCAGGGCCAGCGGGTTTACTCGGGAATTATTTTTGCCTAACATAGCAGTTTAAATTCATTACGTGACGGATAGTTGTGCTAAATGCTCATGTTAATGTCTGTAGACAGACATTTTGGTCGGACTTTAATGTGTTGTTCTAGCTAAGCAGATTGATGGTGGCTAACTCTGGGGCGATAAGTTGACATCACAGCCATCGAGGCTCACCTAGTGTTGTCAAGAGAAACTATTTGGTTTTTGTTCATTTGAGCAGCTGATAGGATTTAAATACCCTATGAAGTGTTTCGTTGCTGCTCTTATAGCTGGTTTCCTTGTTTCGTGGTTTCCTAAACAGGCAAGTTTCTATGTAAATTCAGGTCGTCAAAAGGTAACTGTGGTTATTTTAAACTCGTATTGTTTGCTTTATTTGTGGCTATTTATCTTGTGTGTGGAAAAGAAAGATGGACATGCTTGATGTAGACAGACTGTAGTGCTTCTCAAAGTACCAATTATCACCCAGTTTTATTTTATTTATGGCTACAAGACACTTGTAATTATTTTTTTTAATAATGGCATAAATAAATACTCAGGTTGTTACACTTAAGTGCATGTCCCTGCACCTGAACATGTTTAATTTGCATCTTGATTGCTATAAATAAAAATAAATAAAACAATTTCCATGACTATCTTTGCTTGATCAGTTGAAAGTTGTGACTAGACTTGTTTTTAAAGGAAGTATTGTTCTGCTTTTAATCCACATACCAAACCTTTTCCCATGACAACAATAAGCAATTCTTTTAAAAATCCCATCATTGATATTATATTAGGGGTGTAACAATACATAGATCCACATAAATAAATCGATTAAATAAATAATGATTACATCTAGGCAAAATGAAAACATCGCTCATCAAATGCCTGATCAATCGCAGACTTGTGAAATGAGTGGAATCTAAATGGTATCATGGCAGACATCGATAAACATTGTATCGTCATCCAAACAAATCCATACTTCGTGCTGTGATAAAGCTGGTGATTTACACCCCTACATTTTATTTCCGCCTTCAAGATGTGAGCTGAATTAGCTTTTCATATTTGATATTTACACATATTTCAATCAATTTACAATTTAGATCCAGTTACAAAACGTTACTACGCTGTTCATACAAAATCACATATGAGCGTGATTTGAATCATATTTTGTTGTCTTCTYGGTCTAAAATCAACATTTCGTCTGCACACTGTCTGCTGAGTTTTCAACAAACTTTTTCAGTTTTGATGCCGGCATTAAAAGGATTTTATCTTGTGGAATGTTTTACTGTAACCATGCACAGCTTTTCTGCCAGTCACTGTCTTAGTAGGACAAATAATGTCAACACAACCAGTTGTCCTTAATAAGGAGTTCCACTGCATGTTTTTTCCTCTTCAGTGGCCGAGCCTATTGTTATTGTCAGGTAGTGTGATTTAGTTGCACAATACAGCTATGGCAACAGTGAGCCAAAACAGCCACATAGGTTCACTCAGCTGTAATTTTCCTGCTCTGTTTCCCTTTACTCTGACATTATAAGGCCTCATCATGCACACTATTGCATTAGAAACACAAAGCCTAGCTTTATGTATTCAATCTCTTTATTAAGAGCATTTATTGGTGTTTCACAGCAATTTAATGCACCCAATCYAGCTCTCTGTAGTTTATTGGATAATTGCTATTTTCTACTGCACRTATTTTAATTTCCAAGTACTTTATAACAGTTAAATAATTAAACTATATACTTCACCGTCTCTCTACTAGTCTAACATCCGTTGGATAAGCTCCAGCTCCAGCATCTTGGCCTGCAGCCAGTGACAGTAGTCTTTGTTCTGGTCTGCAGCCTCAGTGCACTTGGCGTCACCCGGTGCCAGTCCTAAATGGGAAGGCTATCCAGCTTGAAGCTRGTCTTCCTCAGAACAAAATGAGTACAGTCACTGCAAGATGTAGTCTCCCCACAGAACAAGCGATATGACATGGAGAAAACTGGTTAACACAGTGTCTTAAGATGAAATATTGTGGCCTGCAGCTATGAAGAATTAAATTGTCGGAAACACTGGGATGGGTTATATACAGTATTTCCACAAATTTGTTTATTAAAGGTCTTAATACCATCACTGAAAAGAAAATTTGAAACACTGGGGAATTTTGTAAAAAGAAAAAAAAAAGATGTAGAGTATGGTGGCTCAATTGGTAATGCTTTCAGCAAGGAAGTTGCTGGATCAAATCCTGGCCCAGGGCCTTTCTGGATAGTTTGCATGTTCTCTCTGTGCATGTGTGGGTTTTCTCTGGGTATACCGGTTTCCTTCTACAGATGAAAATATGACTGGTAAAAGAACTGGTAACTCTGTATCGTCCCTGAGTGAGAGAGTTAATGGTTGATTGTCACATTTGTCTCTATGTGTCCCTGTGATGGACTTGCAACCTGTCCAGGGTGTACCCCGCCCCTTGCACAGTGACTGCTGGATATGGGCACCAGTGACTYTGAAAGGAAGAAGCTGGTAAAAAGATAATGAATGGATGGGAAAAATGCAGTTTATGCAGTTTTTCATCATGTATTGATATCCCTGTTATCATAGCTCTGTCAGGAACTGGTTTCCCATCAACAGCCATCATGTAACTAGTTCGACCCAGTTTGACAACTGTAATAGATTAGCTGTGTAGCTGCTGTGGATGAGTTATTGCTTTTAGTTGACTAGGTTTAGTCCCCAMTATTAAACATTACTGGTGAATAATRTTYAGATTCATAAATTCTTTAAATGTTGACCACATGGCCTGTTAAGCCTTAATCAGATTTTTAAAACATAATTTGTTGATCTTATTGATGTGGTATTTAATGAAACTTATGACTTGTTTTTTATTAAAAGCTGTAAATCATTGTGGATTCCATGATTTAAATTAGAAGTATGCACAGCAAAACACAAAGTAGAACAATAATAAAAATGCAACATCAAACACTTCTACTGACAACATCTATAATCTAATTTTAATACTTTTTGATTGATGCTTTAACTATTTAATCAGTGGTATAAATAATTGTTTCATTAATTATCTTCCAACTTCGAAGAATGCAGTGTGCAGTATGCTAATGTAGACTAATATGTTTTTCTCACAGTTATACCCTCACAGTTTTCACTTCCTTATTGTCATGCTGTCTCCATTCTACTTCCTAAATCCACAGTCAGTACCTTATATGGCTTACACCCAATAATGAAGCACTCCTTGATCACTTACTTTCTGAAGAATTAATGACAACGCTGCATAAATCACTTTAAGAAATTTTCACATGAATTTTAATTTATTCTGTCTGCATCAAGGACCCAACWTTCTTGGTGTAAATTAAATTGGCTAAAGAGTAAAGGCTGTTATATACAAGTTTACTTGAATAGTATAATCYTGCACATTTTGAAAATAAATGCAGCATGGAATTTATTGTATAGGACAGATATTAAAAGGCTTTTTAGTAAATCTTAGTTTCGTAGTGCGAGATATGATCTAAACCACAGATTTTGAATGCTTAGATATCTATATTTTTTTCAGTCTGACTCTTGGAGTGAGTATATTGTATTTCACACTGCCCTCATCAAACTCCATGCAGGTGTTTTTTTAATAATAAAACTGTAAGCTAAATCTATACAGTTACTGGATGCAATTTAAATCYGATGCCCACAAGTTAACAAGTGAAACACAACATTTTTAATTCCATATTATTTGAAGGAGTTTGTGCAAGTGTAGACTAAGGCACAAAAGAATCATATTATGCACACTGCTTTCCTGACATATGTGCTCTGACCATCTTATRTGGCTTTTTTCTGTCTCGGTTTTGTCACTGACCACTTGTTTTCTTGTCCTTCACAAGCCCTCTATTGATTTTTCTAATCTAGCAGCACTTGCGTTGCTATGAATAGCGCAGTTGTTCCAATTATTTTTGGCATTATGKGTATTACCTATAGTTTGGTGACATGAGAGTCTTTGATTAAACTTGATTAGTTGTGGAAAATTCTTATAAACACAGCACCAAGATAACTTTAAAATTAAAAACATTCTAAATGTTCATTTATTTATCCTAAAGTGCTGTTGCTTTAAAAAGCTGTAGTTTCATGCACCCTTACACATGTTGTAGCATCACTTCTGCTCTTGTTAAAATGRATACATCACTGCTAATTAAGTGTTAGTGAAAAACCACAAAGCTCAGTTCCTCACAGAGAATGGGTTTCTTGCCTATTTCAGATAATAAAGGCATGCCTACACTTTTTGTAGAATTGTTTTGTTTCCTCTCGACCATAATTTGCAGAATTTAGATTCCTAGTTCAGTCAGGGTCTTTCCCTGACCACTGTCTCTTGTCTTGTCTCTAYATGAAAGGCAACAAGGTAGGCTGAGAGAAACTGTGGTGCAAGGCTGAATGCTTCCTAGTGGTTTCTTTCTGTGTATGGCTGTGTCAGAGTCCCTCTTAAAGGGTGCACAGAGGACCCAGCTGGCAGCCCAGAACTGACTGTTCAGCTGGAGTATGGTGAGCAAAGCAAAACTCTCAAAACAGGCTGTGTGGCCTCTCAGTGCTGCGTATGTTTTTACAYGTGCAGCAAAATAAGATGTTGCTTTTGGCTGATCTAAATATTCTTATTTTGTTTGAACAGTTAAGAGGGGTGGCAGTCGGTTTGCAATTAAATAATTTCCCCTTTTAGTGAACCACAACTCTACTAGACTCTAGAGCAGTTTCATGAAATCCACACACAGACCAATTCGCTTTTAAGTTTGTTGRAATGTCTCGAAAAAAGACATGCATACAAATATATAAAGATTATTATTATTAAAGAGCATGATTTTTGTACTGAAAGTTCTTGGTTTCTGTTTGTAGACCAAGTCATTGTGACAAATCTCATTAGAGCTGATTTTAATTGTTTACAAATAAACTGTGGAAAGAGCAAGAGATGCTCTTAATATRTCCTGATAAAATAACCTATTTTCCATTTTTATTTTATTTTTTTTATGTCAGGGATATTGCTTGATATTGCAAGACTTGAGCAGCAAAACGTTTGTGGTCAACTTTTTTTAAGCATTTAAATCACTTTCAGTATCGGTAACAATCAGTTTCTTTAATGATTGGCAGTTGATTGTGGTAATTTTTTTTTCTTTTTCGAAGAGCACACATGCACTGATAAGGAACWGTGGGGCTTGGCAGAAGCAGGCAGAGATCTGTTGCTGAGGCCAGGAAGGAAAGCAGGGTGACAAAGCAGCCTTTATAAGTCTATTGGAGCTGCTAGCTGGATAGACAGTGTTAGGTTGTCCTTGCATACAGATGTGTGCTTGTTGGGAAGTTATTCTTGTTTATAATATGGCTGTTTTGTCCTCTATTGGGTATGTGCAGTCCAGCTTAAAACTACATGTTTAGATGAGTACTGTAAGTGACAATTAGACAGTAATGATTGAAAATGTCTTGAGTCTTTACTTGTTTAATAAATAAGAGAATCAGTGAATCTAACTTCCAGGGGAGTGATTTCATAACTCCATTAGGAGGTCTTGACTAAAGTGAGAAAACATCCCCAGCTTGTTGGTGTTAGCGTATGAGAGTTTGCCATTGTCAAACGACAGTCTCAGCAATCTTGCTGATAAGTGCTTGTAATGTTTTGTATTTCCACCGTACACAGTTGTAGGGCTGCACGATATTGGAAAAAACTGACGTGATTTTTTAAATCTTGCGATTTATATTGCAACGTGAAAAACATCCAGCTTGATGCATGAGTGTTTGTGCCATCATCAGACATTCTCAACAAACTTGTAATGTTTTGTATTTACACTGTACACAGTTGTAGGGCTGTGCGATATCGGAAACAACTGACATTGCGATTTTTTTTCTAACCCTGCGATGTACAGTATATTGCAATAGAAAAAACATAAGTGGAGTGGTTTGGCAACGTCTTTTAATGACAGGAGAAGGAGTTTGGAGAGGAGCATTACCTACCATAAAATAGTTTAATATATTTGTAGCAGCTTTTAGATTTAGAACAATAGCTAAAGTTCAGTAAACTGGCCAAAAAAAAAAAAAAAATTAAACTGCCTGTGCACTGTCAGGAGCCCCTTTCAATCAGTGTTTCATATGGTCATTGCATTTGGTAACTTCAGTTYGTCCCTCTGGGGCCCCTTTAGCTCAGGGCGCTAAATTGCTAATGCTACATTCTAGCCCCTTATCTTGTTATCTGCTGGCATGCTGGCTAGGGATGCACAATAACTTATTTTAAGAACCGATATCGATAACCGATAATAACAGATAATAACCAATAACATGCCAGGAGATACCTGCCTGCTTATGGTTTGGTGGTATAGTCCCTAGATAACACGTTGATTTACCTCCTACACTGCCAGACCTGGGATGTGACTATTGCATACGTGTACACTGCAATGCTGATACTCAATTTATTGTGCAGCTCTACACAGTTGTATAAGAAGAAAGAGAATTATTGGGGGTTATCTAGGTCATGGTCACAACATTATTCAAAGTAATATGTTTTGACTATTTTTTCACTTTGCGTTGTCRTTGTTGGACTTGCTTTGAATTGGAAGACTTGTGGACAGAAACAGGGCATGTAATCTGAAGTACAAGATTATAGAATGAGGGAGAATAAGCATTTTTTAAATTGTTCTGATTGTTTTTATAAATATTTTTTAGAATCTTTTGCGGATGATTTCTCCATGTCACAAACAATGCCATCTCATTTTAAGCWCCTCACAACTTAATAGCAAGATGGCGCTTACACCAATTTTCTCTTAAGATTTAAAACAAATATGCTCAAAAACGTATTTTCAGTGGCTGTCAGAAGGTATAACTTGACAGTAAAAAAATGTGTTATTTGTGGTTTTGCTAGTTTGCTGAAAAACTAGTTATTCACCGAGGGCAATGCTTGAGTTCGTTCAAGCATATTTAATGGGTTTTTGTGTACTTTAAACCTTTTTAAAGAGAAATAATTACAATGGATTTGATGATGTAGCAAAGTGGTTTGTTTCAGAATTTCTCACTTGCATTTGCATTACATGAAAGAGCACATGGTTCTACTTTGCTGAAGTAAACAAAAGAACTTCAAAAAGCCCACAGATCTTTTCATTTGTTTGATTTTTATTATTTTCCATGGCATGGTTTATCACTGAATGTAAGCTAAACATCCATTTTCACCCTAGATTTGCCGTCTTTCTAAGGGTTTTGTAAAACTTAGTTTTCTTTAGGTGTTTCAGAAACCTTTTATTCAGAATATTATACAGTTTTTATAGTTTGTAGAGCGTGAGACAAGATTCTGCTTAGCTTCAAAGATGCTTTTCATGGATTTCATCACATCATGACTGTTTTCTGCTTCTTTCTTTTTATTTATTTATTTATTTTCCCTTTTCCAGGTGATTTTGCTCATCATCTCCCTCCACCTCCTCCTTCTGTCTTCTATTCATGAGCAGCGTGGCTGAGTTTAACAGCGGCAGCCATGGATGACAAGGGCTCGGTGGGGAAGTTTAGCGTGTCTTCGGACTCAGTGTCCACTCTCAACAGTGAGGACTTTGTCCTTGTGTCCCGGCTTGGGGACGAGACACCATCCTCCACTAACAATGGTAGTGATGATGAAAAGACAGGACTGAAGGTAAGGATGGTTGGTGTAGAAGCAGAAGCATTAACTCTGAGTCATGTTGACCTGCTAGTATTTGCATCTGAACACGAGGTCACTTTTTCTAAAGTTTACTTTCACTCTGAGTTTAGAGATGAAGCTCATCTGCCTTTGATTACATAAAAGCATAGACTGCAACTAAAAACTTATTATGTTTAAAAAATGGAATCTAAATTGTCCTTCTAACTAAAGGTTGCCATTTTAGCATCTTTTTTTTGTTGAAACAACAAAATGACTCATTACATGATTCACTAAAACATTCTGATGCTCATTCATTTTCATTTCTTTGTAACATACAAAAAAACCTTTTAGATTAGAGCTCACCATTTATATAGATTTAATTGTTCATCACTCACATGTCCAAAGCTCTCAAACATCTTCTTAAACATTCTTACCCTCTACTAACCACTTTTTGTGTTGCAATTCCATTCTCATTTAATATTTTCTAAGAGTTGGTWGTAAACTTACATGTTTAGTTTATGGTGTTAGCATAAATGTAGCACACTCTGGCTAAAGGTGTGGTGTTTAAGTATTATCTGATGGATTCTCCTCCACGGTTGATTTCAGATTTAACGTTTGCTCAGAAAACATTAGATTTTTCAACAGGGTGGCAACTTTAAGCTCACGTGAAATTGATTTGTTAGAGAATAAAGGTATTTTGCGACTAGCTTGCAGCTTTTTTTACAAAGTGAATAAAGACTTTCTAGTAGCAGCAGGATCTTGTGTGTTCCTAATAGGTTCATATTACTTCCATCCTCACATTTTCTTGAATTAAATTAGGCAGCTCACTCACATCACTCACTCATTCTATTAGTTTCTKTTATTACTGCACTGGTACTACTTTAGAGTGTGTTATTGTGGTAAAAATACCAGGAGATGGCGCCATAATAGCATGGATGTTATCTAATCATTGGGGAAAAAAGGATGTTAGAYATTTTTCATGTTAGGACAGATTATGATCTATTYTGTTGTTTTTAGAAATAATACGTTGAGCTTTGGTCCTGCCAACTTATTGTTTCTGCWTTGTGTCAGGTAGATGAATGCCAGCACACAACACATTCACATTCTCACTGTGTGGAGGTACCATCACTCCATTCATTGACTTTTGGTTATCTTATCATGTTTGTTTTGTTTTATTTGTGTTTTTTGGCGACAGTTTTTCTGTACATTTCTCTCCCAGTCAGCTCATCTAGTCAGGAGACGAGTAGGTGTGTCTAAACTTGTTGTTTGTTATGCAGGTGATTTCTGAGGAAGGGGTCAGCTTTAAGGTCAGTCTCTTCTCAAGCTACTTTTCCTTTGCTTTCATTTATTTCTCCTCAGAGACAGTTTTTTGTTTGTATAAAAGAAAAGGTCTTCTTCCTCWGTGTGATGTGATTCTGTGGTGATTCTGTCTGTGATTGTTCTCGTTCCCTGTATTTTTTTCCCCTCCTCTCTTGTGGAGGGATGGCTCTGTAATATTTGAATTGTMATAATGGTAGAAATGTGCATTTTTAGATATGAACTGTAGGTTACAGTTACCTGCTGTAGCTCCACCTGTAAATAAAAAAAAAACCCACTGCTACATTTAGTGACATCACAGTGCTGAATGTGTGAACCTTCACAGCAGCTTTATCAGTTTCTAAAGAGGAATATTTTTTTGTTTTGCTGTTGTTGCCTTTGTCCTGTTGTAGATATAAAAACATTGAAWACATGCTGCACCTCTTCTGGCTGTCTTCACACTGCTTTGCTGGTCAGTACAGTAGTGCCCTGTGCCCTCTACTGTTGGCTGCTGTGAGATAGGCAGGAATAAAAGGCTTTGCTTCATGATGTTACACTTTGTAATTTTTTTTATTTAGTTGTTTTGAAACAAGTGTATTGACAGACTTTTCTGACTTGTCTTATATGTAGATTTTTTTTCACACCRCACTATTTTACTGACTTTACTAATGATCACTAATATTTTACAATATAACCGACACAAATTTTTTAAAAAACCTTTTGATCAACACAGTTAAATCACCGACTCGTCAATACAGAGTAATGTGCTTCACATGTTGAACTGTTTCTATTCATTTGAAGTAAACTTATGGAGAAGTTTAAATTTAACTTATGATGATTATAACACTTTTTAATAAACTCTTCTTGTGTTTAATAACACGTTGATTTTGTTTTTATGCCTGTGCCTGGTTCAGATTGTGGGGAATGGAAGTGAGCAGCAGCTTCAGAGGGAGTTAGCGGATGTCCTCATGGACCCATCAGTGGCAGACACCGGGCTCGGATCTGAAAGGGGAGCGAGCGGTCTTGGTTTGGGCGACCATGGCCTYCCTCCTAACACACCGTCCCCCGTGCCGCCCGGCACTGACCCTCTGAGCGCATCGCCACCCAAGCTGGAGATGGTGCTTCCTGTTCAGACGGCTCAGGAGAGTGAGCTGAATGAAAGGTCTTACAGAGGTGGGACGCCTCATCGAATTCTGATTTTTAGTCCGATTTTTCTTATTTATGACTTTTCTTTCCAAGCACCATTGTTGAAATGTTGATGATGAACTGAAGGACAAATCATCTTTCTTGTCCTGTGTCAGGTCTTTACTGGATTTATTTATATTTTTTCTTAATGGTATGACTTTCAGGTACTTTTCATCTGCTTCTTTTGAGACCTGACACATTTTTTGTCCTTCTGTCTACTTTCAYAATTTATTTAAGCACACACTGCACACTATGCTGTTAAGGACATATAGAAGGACTGGACATAAAATTATAAGGAGCAAAATTTAAATAAGATTTCAAAAAACAAAAGAAAACCTGTGAAAATATCACCTAGAATCTCTTCATGAGGGCATCAGAAAGTCTGGCGCCTTGGAAGCAAAATWTAAAGACATTAAGAGCTGTTAAAAATCTTTGCTCAAACAACTTTGACAAATAAAAACCTTAAAATCCAAATTTCTCTCCCTTCTTCTTTCCTTTGCGTTCATCTCAACTCTGCAGCAGATGAATCGTCCTCAGAAGGAAGTCCCTGCAGTCCCATTCCAGATGAGGACAGCGTTGTGTTCAGCCAGCTGACATATCTAGGGTGTGCCTCCGTCAATGCCCCCCGGAGTGAGGTGGAGGCCCTTCGTATGATGAGTATTCTCAGAGGGCAGTGCCAACTCCCCCTGGATGTCACACTTTCGGTGCCAGGCGTGTCTGAAGGCACTGTCAGGTCAGTAAAACATGTCAATCATACGGCTTGTTAGAGTTCTGCACAAGTCTTTTTTTAAACCTCCACTATCACGGACTATCAGGAGTTTATTTATTGATGTGTTAACAGGTTGTTGGACCCCCACAACAACGCGGAAATTGCCAATTATCCCATCTATAAGATTCTGTTCTGTGTTCGAGGCCATGATGGCACCCCAGAGAGCGACTGCTTCGCCTTCACTGAGAGCCACTACAACTCCGAGATCTTCAGGATTCACGTGTTTCGCTGCCAAATCCAAGAGGCGGTGAGTAATCATCAATTTAAATGTTCATTTAAATGCAGCGCTTGACTCCACGTCAGTGCTGCATACAAAAGGCCTGTGTAGATGTGAAGATGTATAAATACACTTTTTATTACACAAACAAAACCATTTCTACCAAAAATATCTATCAGGTGGGAGTTTTGGAGCTTAAGTATGATATTATGCTGTGTGACGCTGATTCAAATTCACTTAATGTGCATCATGATTTAAATCCAAAGTAATTTATAAGGGAGACGCAAATTGGAATTCAGAGCAAATAGACTGTTAAACAGAAGGAGGAGACAAGGAGATGCAGTAAAAACTGGGTTAAAGAGCTACTGCTGTGTTCAGTGACCTGATTTCTTCCTCATGGAAACCGGGTTATCRTGAACCTTTAGTCAGATGCTGCTTTATTGCTCCTACATTATCCTGTTACCCTGAAAATCTTAGGCTCTCACACCGAAGCATCACGTCGAATTAGAACAGGAAGCAGAGATTCACACATGGATAACTCAGCAGTAACTACATATCTCTTTCTCTCTCTCTCTTACTCATCTGTATTTACCCTCTCCTCCACGAACAGTTATCTTTTTTCTAATTTACAAATTACATACCCATCTAAGCTGTTGGCAGCTTTATTTAGTTGCTTATCTACATGACACCGCAATAGCAGCAACACTGCCATTTATTGTCGTTTTGCTTTGGAAAAAAGTTGTTTTAGTCACACTCCTATCCCTTCTTAAACTATTGTAAATATTTGATTTTTATTACCTGTTGTACATCTACAGTACTTACCAAGGTTCAAATTTTGTTTTTTAAAAGTACTTCTTATCAGCAGAAGTGATCCTAGCCTGTTCTTAGTTCTTAAATAATCTTGTGATAGGTCTTCACATCAGATAAAAACTGTTTTGAAGCATTCATTTCAGGAATAAAAAGATATATTTTAATCTTGGCGGAATCATATTTCAGAGTATTTTTAGTTGCTGATCAGATTTGTGGGTTTTTGTCTGACTGTTCGTGCATGAAGCATACCACCTCCTCCGTCAAACCCTGTGGTTTGTTTGCAATAATTGCCTGTTCACTGATGGAGAGCCCCACTGTGCCTCCTACCCAAGAATGTATTTTTCTGACTGTTAACGTGCTGCTTTTCTTGTGTGTTATACAATACACACGAGTTCATCTTTTATAGCTTTATTATATGCAAGGGGTCTAGACTCCTAATGAATTGAATTACAGCTAGAGAATGAAATTTAATTGGAACACTGAATGGACTGAGTGTGTTTTTTTACAATGACATCATTTGAAATGTCAAGTTTCATTTTAGTTTGGACATGTAGTTGAAGCCGACTTGTAAGGAAAAGTCGAAGCTCTGACATGTTCCAAATTAAAAGCAGTAATAAATTCTGTAGGTACAGGATCCAATTTAAAAAGCTTGTGTTGTTATCAAAATGCATCCAGGAGTTAAAACTTTATTCCCTGTTGTTTCAGTTTGTTTCTCCAATAAAAGCAGCCACACACTGAGCAGTTTTAGGCATTTTATAGGTTTTCTGCTAAACACTCCGTTTAATAGGTGTTCATTTAATTGGACATGACTTTAATGTACGCGTTACAGACTTTATGATGTTTATGCTTCCTGAATCATAGCAGGCTGTGAGGCGAGTCATATTTCTGTCAGCTCTGTAATCCCTTCAGATTTAGTTTCTTTTCTACATCCTTCTGAGCGTGATGAGCTGCTCACTGCTTCGACTCAACCAACGTGTTTCTCCTGGTTTAAAGTTAAAAAATTCTGTTTTCTTTGTACAATTAAAGTCTTGGAGAACCTCCACGTGGTACAACAAGACAATTATAAAACACTAAAAACTGGAAAGTTTGCTCTCTCTTTCTCCTTTTTAAGCTCACAACAACACTTTATTGTTAAACTTTTATTATTTTATCAAAACAAGGGCTGAGTTTTGTGTATGACTGTTCTTATCCTTCCAAATCTCTTCCCTTCGTTTTTGCGGTTGCTTAAAATACAGCCTCAGCACAAACTCCTGATCTTCTTGTTCTGTACCAGTGTTGCAACAAACAGTGCTTTATTCACAGCCCTTGAGAAATCAAAAAGAGCGTTATCATTTATCAATAGTAACAGCATCCCTGTGCCATCTCTTGGTCATACCCAAGAACTCCATTTTAGTTTTATGAAATGTAGAAKCAATTGTAAACCGCTGTGAAATGAGCCTTTAGTTTGGGGACAAAGTTTTATTCTTCGACACTCTCTTCAATAAAAATAAGAAAATAGAACTTGTTTTTTTATTAGCAGATTACACAAAGAATATGTTTTTCTAGCTGCTCTCTGTGAACCTTCTGCTCTCTAGGTATTGGAGATTTAACAGARATCTTTCTGTCGTCTTGGTTTTATGTTGAAAATTCTCAACATAAGGGAAAAAAAATCATCTAAATATTTTTGAATATACAGCATATGTTTTAGGACATATTTCCTTCCACAGTTTTTCTTGCTTCTGTCACATTTCTGGCAACAGATGGACAGAAATGCGCWGTAATGGTGTTTTCAATAATTGCTAATGAGGTATTTATTTGGTACTTGTGTAAAACTAAATAAGCCAAAAGAAAAATGTATGTTGGCCACACAAACTACTAAACTTTCTGCTATATAAATACATTTTTTTGCCTTATTATAACCAATTAAAATGGAAGATGTTTTGAATACTAGATTTTGCAAGTGGTATTTGTGATCTTTACCTTATGTCGAATGAAAGTAATTTAAAAATAATTTTATTTCTCTTGAAACAAAAATAATTAGGTCTTTAAATATAAAAGTGTTGGACAAAATGGCTTCTAACATTGGCTCAAAAACCTTTTGTATTTGAAAAGACAAAAACAATTTTTTTCTTCACTCTGAAGCATGCTTATGCTTCGAGGGAAGTGGTTAAAGTCTTATGATTGCTCACATAAACTCMGTCCTGTTCTTCAGTTCATAACTTCATCTAAGGACAACAGTTTTACAGGTTTCTGTACTTATTTTAGGCCCAGATTAGATCTGTTGTTGATTTGTTTCCATAACAGATTTGTGTTTCTGTGCTCTTAATGAGGTCTTTTGTTAGAAATTGATGGTGTGTCTTTCCTTCTGCCCTTCCAGGTGAGTAGGATACTGTACAGCTTTGCCACAGCCTTTCGGCGGTCAGCCAAGAAGGCAGTTCTGTTGTCTCAGCAGAACGCTCCGCTGACCCCTGACAGCGACTTGTTTACCTTCACTGTCAGCCTGGAGATCAGGGAGGATGACGGCAAGGGTACTTTCAGGTACATTTATGCCCAATCATCTTGTTTTCTGTTTGTAAGGACAACCAGGGTAAAGCATAAAAAAATAACATACTGTCCAAGACTTACAGTATTAAAAATCTGCTTTATTAAATATGTTTGTCTTATTCTTTCTTTTTTTTTTAGTTGAGACCTTTCTAAACCCCTATAAGTCATTGTCAAATGAATTTCCAATGCCTCTTCAACCTCTAACATTTTAAAAACCCACCTCCTTCAGCTTTAGATAAACTAACAGCTGTGTGAACTACTAGAATTAACCTCAACAACTCATCTTAAATATACTTTCTTTGAAGTAAGCTGAATGGTTGTTGAGAGAAACGCGCAGAGACTCTTGCGTTTATTAGTGTTGCAGATAAGAGAACACAACAGTCAGTTCCTGTTTGCTTTTTTAACATATTATTTTTTTCCCTCACAATACTGAGTCACTTCCACATCTTCACAAGAAAAAAAACAATGCAGTGCTTATATTTTTTTTTAGCCAACRCATTTCCTCCTCATTAGCCATTTCATTTATTTTTGGCTTTACGTCCAAACTAAGTCTGATTTTGTATATGATCAGTATATTGTTGACTTTTTTTAAAATTCTTACACAATTCTTTACTTTATATTTTTTATTATTAGTAGTCGTATCATTGCTAGTTAGTATACAAAAAACAATATTAATACTATCTATAGTTTGTAAAGTAACTAGCATGTGAACCTCTGTACGGATGCTGCTGTGACACCTGAATTTCCCTCTTGGCAGGACAATTAAGGCTGTTTCTATTCTATTCTACAGAAATGCTTCTTTTAAGCTGTATAAAAATATTTTAAAGCAGGGGTCGTCAACCTGTGGGTCACAATCCTTCATTTTATACCAATGAACAACAAATGCCTACCAAAAACTAAAAAATCACTTGTGCTTTATTTTGAAAACTATAAATCAGCCTGTCAGTTAGGGCTGCACCGTTTAGTTGAAATAATCGATGACGTCGATTATGTAAATTTGTCGACGCAGATTTTTTATTATCGATTCGCTGTATTACATRACCACCACGTGAATGTTCATGCAATTCCATTTCGGTACCTAAATGCATCGTTGCGTCCGTATTGGCATAAGAGTGGTGAGTTTTTCATACTTGTCCTGAACGCAGCATCGCGCAAGAGCGTAATTACGTCAGCAGCTGCTGCTTCAGTTCAGTGTGAAGCTTGAAAACAAGCCTCGCAGCTCCTGGAGTAAAATKTACCGAACAGACCGCCTCTGAATTATCTGGTGGATTAATTATCTTGTGA